AAATTATTTTTTTTGATTGAAGATGCTTTTTGTTTGATTGAATAATAAAAACACAAATTTACCTCCATAGACAAACAGCAGTAGTAACTCTGCCTGTGTTCTTATTTTTTCATAGACTCACAAAAACCACAAAACCTCGTTTTTAGGTGGTTGAATATTTATACGTTCCAAACAAAATGATGTCCCATCAACTGTGTATTTAAAGTTCAATGTTTTAAAAGTGGGGTTTTGTTGAAAAGTTATGGAAATTAATATACATGATTGAAATAACTCTTTGAAAATTGTACAGTAACAAATCATCTGCACCAATGAGGACCCCCCTCCCAATTTTATTTATTTTATTTTTTACTTTTAAAAAAGTGCTCAAAGCAGCTTATAGTATACTGTAAGAGCTACTTCAAGAGTCTGTTTGGAGAATGAAATATTTTAACTGACTGCACCGTGTGTTGGTTTAATAAACATATTTACACATAAATGTTTTTAAAATGTTTGTTTTATTACATTCAGGTAAATGTGCAGCACTATGTGGTCCACTGCTAACAAATGTGGCCCCTTCTTTAATTTAATTGGCCCATCTCTGTTCTGTACCAAAGCGGATTGCTGTCTCAAAACAAATTTTGTGAACACTGTTTTATGATCTTTTAGACCACCAGAACTTTTGCATTATTCAGTTGTTTACATCGACTTTTAGTTGTTTTTGAAAGTGCAGAAAGAGGCTAAAGCAGTTAGCCTCAGGTTGCACTGTTAGAGCCAGTTTGTGCAGTAATATCATGATAYGTCTGCTGATGTTAAACTGACAGTRGTGTAACAYRTTTATAAAACAACATTCACACAAATTCCTCTAAAATGTATGAGAAAGGAGTGGTTTTAGGCACAGAACAGACTGTCAACYTGCTTAGTGGTTTCAATTAAACTCAATTTCTTCTAAATGAAGCCATTTGCAACATGTTAGATATTAGGTGTTAAACCTTTGTTACAGGCCCAGATTTCTTTTTTCAGTTATATTTCATCACATATTTTTATTTTTTTCTCATTAAGCACAAAAAAATGATAATGTGTATGAATTTAAAACACTAGAAGTCATCAGTTATGTTTGGCTCGAAGGTAAGGTTTGTCTCTGAAATGAGTAAAACAGAAACAAATCCAAGTCAGGTTGTTAGTTATGAGTGGCGGTGATGGCCTCGTTACAATCAGCCCATGTGTTCCTGATGGCATCTGCTTGTAACATCAGGTGTTTCTTTAATGAACACGCAGTCCAATTATTTACAGCAGACTGCCTGCTCATCGGTGACGTGACCCGTGTTGGCTCTTATGTTGTTCACAGGAGGGGGGTTGGTGCTACGCTGAAACGTCACCGTCGACCGTCTCTATATATAACCGAGCTCATGCACAGCAGCAGATGATGTCATGCTCTATCTGTGGGGGGATATGAGACTATTCATCAGCAGGAGAGAGGTCTCCTTTGTGAGAGCGCACACWTCATGGAGGTATGGCTCAGCGTTTCAGAGCCTGCAGCTACAGATCAGAATTACAGCTCTGAGGACAGATAACTAGGAGATAAAACCTCAAGAATTAGAACAAAAACCTGAGTCATTTCTTCTGGCAATGCGGGGAAATCATTAGACATTAGCTCTTAGGGTTTAGCTCAGGAGGGAAAAAGTTAACCGGGAAAAGTTTGGGTCTAAGCCACAAAGCAGCTTTTGTTCTCAGCACTTAACACTGATAAAGGTGGTCTGATACTCGGGCACCGCTGCCACTGTGGAATGGCTCATAATATTCACAGAGCTAAGCTGTGAAGTAAGGAGAGACGTAGACAATGAACACCTCACTCTCCAGGGACAGTGAAATCATCAAAGGGGCTTGTGGTGAATGCAGTGGCAGCTCAGGCCAACGTGTGACTCAGACAAAAGGGAGTCCCACTCAGCCATCACTGAGGAGTCATTGTTAAGGAGAAATAAAGAGCAGTATTGACTCCCCTCATCTGCTCGTCCTCTGAGGACCTACTGGTGTGGTTCTGAGTGGGAGGATGGATGGATGATGTGACTGATGCTGTGGCAGTGAGGATTATGGCTTTTCTAGAAAAGAAGGAGTTTTGTGTATTTGCACTTATAACCAGCTACAGTCAAATCATGTTTAATCACAATGAAAATAWGTTTTGTCCATTCGTCACGATCAAACTGCTGCAGCTCCTTCTGGTCGGATAAATGTTGCTGGTGTTCAGTAATCTTTAAATAAAACTAGAAATTCTCAGTAAGATTGAAGTCTAAGCCTTGATTCAACCATTCCTGATGTTTACATGGTTCTGCTCAGTCTCCAACAGATTTATAGATACAGAAACACAGWTTTTTCTSTATTTTCTGKATCAGTAGTTCCCAAACTTTTCAGCTTTTGACCTTCAAAATAACAGCAGCAGAGACCTACYTTTTGGGTGATAAACATTATTATCAGGTCAAATGAACAAAGATATTATAACAATAWTATTTTTGCTAATTTCACCMATTTTTATGTATACTAAGGTCACTCTTTTGGAAAAAGACAAAAKAAATTGTTAGTAGTCTTTTTTTAAAAGCAATTAATTCTGAAAATCCCTTCAAGACCCCAGCTTGATGTTTCAGGACCAACAAAGGGCTAACTCCATCTTTTATATTCTGCTCATTTTTTATGAGTAATCTGCTTAATTTTAATCATTTCAACACAGATTTCAAAAAGCGTAAGGTAAGTCTGAGTCAAATTTCTAGCACAGAACAGGAAAAAAAAGGTTGAAATTCACAGAGTTTGCATTTTATGTCCCTCAGCTGCAACACAAGCTTCAGCAGCTGCAGCAGCTTGTGCCACATTTCTCTCCGCTGAGCATGAAGCATTTTATTATTGTTGTTTCCCCAGAGTCCATCATGTGTTCCCCAATGCTGAGAGAATGTTAACCTGCAGATGGGGCCAAAGTAAGAGAACACACACTGACACACACACACAGACGCACACACATTACTCTGACTCCAAGCAGAGAGCGCAGCCTGAAGGAGTCAGTACATCCACAGAAGGTCAGCCCGAGATGACGACGATGATGATGATGCACAGAAGACTCAAACAGCYAAGAGACCCCGAGGTCATCCCACTGAGGGGCTGTACAGTCATCTCCAAAAGAAACTGACCCAAAACTAACAAGGTGCTGAAGCCAAATTGAGTTTGACAAGTTGGAGAGTCACAAAAGGGCAGCTCCAGAGAGACACAAGGTTACACAGAACACAGCCAGCAGCTTTCATTATGTTATTTATGCAATTATGTCTTAGAATAATATTTCTTTATGGACTGATTTAGGTTTAAATAAAAAAAATGGTATGATTGAGTAAATGCAGCCAATTGTCTGAATAAACAGATAAAAAAAGTACCAGTATTTGTGGTCTTCTTCATGCTCTGCTGATCCACTTCTCCTCAGGTCAGTAAAAGCAGCAAGCTGGTCCTGGAAGGAAACCTGGATCTGGTCTCCTGTGGTGTTGGTGATGCTGTCTCAGTTTTTCTGGCACTGGTTCTTGTGACTCCTTGTGGATGTTTGCTTCCTGGAAATCAGCTGGACTCGATGGTTTGCACCTTAGTGAGAAGCAGACAGTTTTGTTATCATGAGGGGGAAAAATGTGAGTGCATACGTTGTGSTGGGGGTGGAGAGCTGCGCTGACACGCGTTTACACACAGATTGCTATTGGACACAGCAGTGTGAAAGGAATATAGAGTACWGCTATCATGAAGAGCAAGTGCACTGAAAGAAATTATGTGGCAAAAAATGAAATGATCTGAAATCCATCTCATTTTTCCATCAAATTWTTCCTTTCATTCAAAAATCCCTCATAAAGTATCACCTAACTTAACATTTTTGTTAAAGTAATAATGCCAATTTAGTAACATTTGGACAKTATATGACAGAGAAAACCATCAGCTAAACTTAWATAGAAAACTGATGGTGAAAACGTGACACAGACATGAAACAACCAACTGGTTATAAACTCAATGACGTTTCCCAGTTGGAAAAATAATCAGGACAAGACTCCACTGCTGAAGAAACAGCATGTTGAAGCGCATTTAAAGTTTGCTGCACAACATTTAGACAAGCCTGTGTAATACTRGRAGAATATAGTCTGGTCAGATGAGACCAACATTGAACTGTTTGGATGCCAGAATACACATCATGTTTGGAGGTCAAATGGCACTGCACATCAGCCCAAAAACACCATACCAACAGTGAAGTTTGGAGGTGGGAACATCATGGTGTGGGGCTGTTTTTCAGCATATGGTACTGGCAAACTTCAAATAATTGAAGGAAGGATGAGTGGAAAAATGTACAGAGACATTCTTGATAAAAATCTGCTTCCATCTACCAGGTTGATGAAGATGAAACGTGGCTGGACATTTCAGCAAGACAATGAGCCCAAACACAAAGCCAAGGAAACTCTCAGTTGGTTTCAGAGAAAGAAACTAAAGCTGCTGGAATGGCCCAGCCAATCACCTGACCTGAATCCAACAGAAAATCTATGGAAAGAACTAAAGATCAGAGTTCATGGAAGAGGTCCACGAAAGCTTCAAGATTTGAAGACTGTTTGTGTGGAAGAATGGGCCAAAATCACACCTGAGCAATGCATGCCACTAGTTTCTCCATACAGGAGGCATCTTGAAGCTGTCATTGACAACAAAGGCTTTTGTACAAAGTATTAGATACATTTCAGTAAGTGTGTTCAATACTTTTTTCCCTGTGCCATTCCACATTATTACAAATAACTTCATTTCTGGACATTTATGGTTTGATTTCTTTGTATGTATGGATCACTTGGGTTGTTACCGACATCTGGTGAAAATTTCATGTCATTAGCACCTCTAGTAATATATTTACTGAGAAAAATGGTGACGTGTTTAATACTTATTTTACCCGCTGTATATACATACATTATATATATATATATACACACACACACACACGCACACACACACACACACACACACACACACACACACACACACACACACACACACACACACACACACACACATTTATTTATTTATTAATTTATTTATTCATTCATTCATTTATTTAAACATACCCATACCTACATACATATACACACACAAACCTATTAAAGTCTAACCTTCAGTGGTGGCTGAGGTTAGTGGGAGTCGGTGGGGGCAGCCGCCCCAGTCGTTGCATCCTTGGGCAAGACACGTCACTGTCCTTGCCTACTGATGGTGGTCAGAGGGTCCGGTACCAGTCCACCTCTGTCAGTGTGCCCCCAGGGCAGCTGTGGCCACAATRTGGYCTCCCACCATCAGTGTGTGAATGGGTGAATGACTGTGGTGTAAAGTGCTYCGTGGTCTCCACRGGGCTTGATAAAGTGCTATAAGTTCAGTTCATTCACCATTCAAGGAATGAATCACCTGCTGCCTTTCCTGTCCTTCATCTGAAGTTGAGAAATGATTAACTTGTATTTGTTTTAGTCAAAACTTAAAAATAACATGCTGTATAAACACATGCAATAGCTTACATGAACTGTTAACTCTTAAAACATGYTGTGAGTAAATCATCCACTACAACGTCAATTTTTAGCTCAGTTTCTGTAAAAGTTGAAGAATCATTTGAGCTTGCTAAGGTTGCTTAGCTGTAACTCTGAATGTGATCAAAAAGTGAAGCAGCTGTAGATCAGCCAGTCATCACTTTGAGGGTTTCTGTTGGTTCAGAAAATATTTTGCTAATGGTACAGCCAAACATATTCACTCACAGACAGGCTAAAACACTATCACTCCTCCTCCTTCATTTTCAGGCAATAACAAACACTTGTGGCTCAKTGATCCAGTGATGAACAACTTTTAAACTAATACACCAAAGTTTGTGTGCTTCGTGCAAAATTATTGTTAAATGCTGTCCCCTATTGGTTGAAAAGGAAAATGATTTCTTGGTTTATTTATTTAATAAACAAACAGCCAAATAAAAATAAATATTTAATTTAATTTAATTTAATTTTAAGCCAGCCTCAACAATGACTTATTGAGTCCCCTGTAAAAAGAATGTTAGGCAACAAATGTACGACATATTAGTAGAGAAGTTAGTAAATGATGTTGAAATGGTCAGAGTTGATCTTAATGAAAGCACAAATCTCAAAAAGCACTGTTTGCTTGTAGTTATGTGGGTGTATTAGGGGTTTGACACACTTTTCTGCATTCTGGTTAAATTTTTGCTGCATTTTTGAAAGCGTGACTACAAGTGTTGTTTTTAGCTGTTGGTTCATGAAATGACTCATCAACAAAAGGTCTTAATGCTCCTGAAAGCACTAAACTGAGCGACAGTCCCAGCATGCTCTGCATTTGTCAGTCAGCTTATTTTCATTATTTTTATTCTAGTGAAAAAACCACAATGAAAACAGGTCAATGTTTGTTTGCTTGTTGGTTAATACAAATGATTCCTCCTATCATGACATAAAATAACTCAGGAATGTTGACATTTTAAGACAAGTGGCAGCAGAGACAGCATGGCAGAAAGTATATTTGACCACAGCTCAGTTGCAGGATCAGTCAGTRACTTTCATATTTTGATGCTGTTGAAGAAGAGACACTGGTGGGGAAAAAATCTAAAGTGGTGGTTGGAAACTGGAGCAACAGGCTACAGATGAGTTACACTTAAAGCATCCTTCCTGTTGATTTTTTTTCTTACTTAAAGTGCTTCATGGAGAAACAGTGGTGCCATTTAAGGCACTYACAGCCTACACAGACAGTAAACAGTAATTACATCTGTATATCAGAAAACCCAATTTATGCATTTATAAACTCTTCATGCAGACCACCACTATGGACTTATTTGGGTTTCAAACATGTAAAATGTGAGAAAATTTTATTTCATAATTTCATACTTCATTTGGTTGAAGTATTTTATGAATTCTGTGAAGACAAGAAGCCTCCATTTTATACGTTTACAGGATATGCTTAATTATTTTGTTAGCATCCTACAAAACATAGCTTAAAAATCCAACTTATATAT